CCTAAACCCCAAACCCTCTAACCCCTAAACCCTAACCCCTAAAACCCTAAACCCTAAACCCCTAAACCCGAAAACCCTAAACCCGAAAACCCTAAACCCCTAAACCCCTAAACCCTAAACCCTCTAAACCCTAAGTCCTAACCCCTAAAACCCTAAACCCTAAACCCTAAACCTGAAAACCCTAAACCCCCAACCCTAAACCCATAAACCCTAAACCCGAAAACCCTAAACCCCCAACCCTACACCCCTAAACCCTAAACCCTCTTGTGGTTCTTTAGGCGCTTAGCAGGAGCCCAGGGTCTCTTTGGGGCGAGGGTTCGAGATCGCCACGTATGGCTTGGGGTTTCGGGTTAGGCTCAAGGAGTTTGGGGTTTAGGGGTTTAGGGTTTAGGGCTAAAAGGGTTTAGGGTTTGGGGTTTGGGGTTTAGGGCTTTCAGGGTTTAGGGTTTAGAGTTTGGGGTTTAGGGTATCAGGCAGATGTGGTCTGGTGTCTCCGTGGTGTATTTGGGTGCTGTCCTGGGCTTTTGACACTCAGCGATGTCGCTGTAATTTTGGAGGCAGCTTTGAATAGAACGAGCTGATAATGCCCATGGGTAGCTTTTTTTGCGGCTCTTGATACTGATGGTCCTACTGTTGCACATATCTGTCCTTACGGCATCCTACTTGAAATTCTGAAATCCTGCGTCATCGGCTGAGAGCCAAGGGCATGGGTTTTCGGCTGTCAGAGGGATTTTGGATCCGGGGTTCGGGGTTTGGGGTTTAGGGTTGGTTTGGGGCTTGGGTGTATGACTGCCTACTACGAATTCTCAAGAGCTTGGGTTGCGATGTAGCCATCCGAAGTTGAAAGTTACAAACGCCCGAAGCTCCAGAGCTCAGCAGTCCATAAAGTCTCCACCGTAGTGCTTCTTGTATAGTTTAGGGGGTACCTTTCAATCGTCCCAAAAAAGAGCGCTGGAACCTCACCCCCCACACATTCTGCTGTTCGAGCCTTGGTGTGCCCAGAGAAGGTTCTTTTTGTCCTCGCCTTCGTTTGTTTGGGTCTGGTGTCCCTGCCCAGACGGTGCGCCCCAAACCTAAGGATTTGAATTCATCGGGTGCTCAGGACCTAGGTGTAGGGTGGAGGCGGTATAGGATCTTAATATGGTGTTAGGGAGTTTAGGGTTCTGGGCCCCGAAAGCAGCGAAGGTATCGGCAATCCAAGCTGACTCACATGCTCAAGGACTTGTTTTAGGGTTCTTCCGCCAAAGAATCAGGAAGAATTCGCATAAGGCTGTAGGTTTCAGCAGCCCTAAACCCTAAACCCTAAACCACCCTAAACCCTAAACCGTAAACAATTGGGGCCCTTGACGGTGAAGCAAGGTCTTCGGGGTACTTTTTTGGGCCAGGCAGTTTGCCCAAGGCTGTCTGCCTTGTGCCCTACATCCTGCATGTCATTTCGCGGCAACTTTTCCCTGTTCGAGTGGTTAAGGCCCCTTTAGTAGAGATCTTGGAGATTGACAGGGAATAAAATGTGTCTTGTGCTGGAGCTCTCTTGAGCTATCCAGGCATGCTGTTTCAACCACCCAGCCTTGACGCCAAAGCCAGTAGAGACTTAGGTTTAGCGTTTAAAGTTTCAAGTTTAGGGTAGCCCCCCAAATCCTAAAGCTTGGAACCAGCACACACTCACAAATGCCTCAAGACATCAACACGACCTAGAGGATCATACCCTACCCCCTTGTTTCAAGGGAACCTACTTTTCTCTATACTCTAAAGAAAAGAGGTAGGCTATGAGCCTCTAGGTATGAGTGGAATCCTGCAGCCTCCGACCCCCAAACTTTTTAAGCCTGGGCCAAAGCAACCAGGATAATATAGGGGCCTAAATGATTACCAATAGAATTTTTGGGGGCTCCGTATTATAACCGTACTATGAGGGAGCCCAAAACCCTGTTCTAATTATTAAGGCCCCTACATTATCAGATGCCCGTTTCTTCGAGGACTCGCTAGGAGGAAACTGCAAGACAGTGATGGTTGCCAACATCTGGCCTGAGGTGCCT